CTTGTAATACAATTTTAGAGAGATCCATACACTTGAACACAAGTTATTGTCTAGAAACTAAAAAATGCTTATTTTAAACCCCTTTTTAGGCCCCTTATTACTAAACGTTTTGGGCAATTACCACAACACTCAATTCCAGCTTTCCCTTTGTGAAATGGAACCTTGTAGTAAAATTTCAGAAAGATCCATACACTTACACACAAGTTATTGTCATGAAACTAGAAAAATGCTTGTTTTTTGCCCCCTTTTGGCCCCTTATTCCTAAAATTTTGAGGCAATTAACCCCGAAATCAATCCCAGCATTGACCCTTTGTGACATGGAATCTTGTGGTACAATGTCAAAGAGATCCATATGCTAACACACAAGTTATGTCTGGATGTTACAAAAATGCTTATTTTCGGCCCCTTTTTGGCCCCTAATTCCTTAACTGTTGGTACCATAACCCCCAAAATCAATCCCCACCTTCCTATTGTGGTATTGAACCTTATAGTAAAATTTCATAGAGATCCATTCCCTTAAACTAAAGTTAGAGTGCGAAAACCATTGTGTATTCGGACGACGACGCCGGACGACGACGACGACGCCAACGTCATACCAATATACGACCTCAAAATTTTTTTGCGGTCGTATAAAAACGGGACACAAAATTAAAAATCTAAATACACCGTTAGATTTGGCATATCAAAGAACCCCAATAATTCAATTTTTGATGAAATCAAACAAAGTTTAATTTTGGACCCTTTTGACCTCAATATGAACCAATTTGATAGCGGGTCCACAAATAAAAAATCTAAATACATGGTTAGATTCAGCATATCAAAGAACCCCAAGAATTCAATTTTTGATGAAATCAAACAAAGTTTAATTTTGGACCCTTTTGACCTCAATGTGGACAAAGTTGATAACGGGGCCCAAAAATCAAAAATCTAAATACATGGTTAGATTCAGCATATCAAAGAACCCCATATATTCAATTTTTGTTGAAATCAAACAAAGTTTAATTTTGGACCCCGATTTGGACCAACTTGAAAACTGGGCCCATAATCAAAAATCTAAATACATGTTTAGATTCAGCATATCAAAGTACCCTAAAAATTCAATTTTTGTTAAAATCAAACTAAGTTTAATTTTGGACCCTTTTGACCTTAATGTAGACCAATTTGAAAACGGAACCAAAAATTAAGAATCTAAATGCACGGTTAGATTCGGCATATCAAAGAACCCCAATAATTCAATTTTTGATGAAATCAAACAAAGTTAAATTTTGGACCCTTTGGACCTCAATGTGGACCAATTTAAAAACTGGGCCCAAAATCCAAAAACTTAATACACGGTTAGATTCAGCATATTAAAGAACCCCAAGAATTCAAGAATAAAACCCCATTGAAATTGATCAAGAAATAAGCAATTTATACGAAGTATCTTCTTTTGCACAATACTGTGCAATTGAATATTTCTTGCTATTGTGCAATACTGTACAATTGACAATTTCTTGCTATTGCGCAATATTGTGCTATTGGATATTTCTTGCTATTGCGCAATACTGTGCAATTGAAGATTTCTTGCTATTGCGCAATACTGTGCAATTGAAGATTTCTTGCAATTGTGCAATACTGTGCAATTGAAAATTTCTTGCTATTGCACAATACTTATTATATAATAATTTACACATCCTGTTTGGTGTGTATCTCCTACCATATCATTATTATTTGCTTTTAAATATTAATCAGAAATAACCAACTTAAAATGGAAAATTTGAAAAGAAAAAAAAAAGGAAAAAAAGAAAAAAAAAGAAAAAAAAATATCCCCCCCCCCCTCCAATTTTTTGAACCCCCTTATCATTCATCACCCCCAAACTCAATCCCAGCCTTCCCTTTGTGGTATGGTACCTTGCAGTACAATTTCAGAGAGATCCATACACTTGAACACAAGTTATTGTCTGGAAACTAGAAAAATGCTTATTTTTGGCCCCTTTTTGGCCCCCAATTCCTAAACGTTTCGGGCAATTACCCCCAAACTCAATTCCAGCTTTCCCTTTGTGATATGGAACCTTGTAGTACAATTTCAGAAATATCAAAACACTTACACACAAGTTATTGTCATGAAACTAGAAAAATGCTTGTTTTTTGCCCCTTTTTTGGCCCCTAATTCCTAAAATTTTGAGGCAATTACCCCCAAAATCAATTACAGCCTTCCCTCTGTGATATGGAACCTTGTGGTACAATGTCAGAGAGATCCATACACTTACACACAAGTTATTGTCTGGAAGTTACAAAAATGCTTATTTTTGGCCCCTAATTCCTTAACTGTTGGTACCATAACCCCCAAAATCAATCCCCACCTTCCTTTCGTGGTATTGAACCTTATGGTAAAATTTCATGGAGATCCATTCACTTAAACTAAAGTTAGAGTGCGAAAACCAATGTGTCTTCGGACGACGCCAACGTCATACCAATATACGACCAAAAAATTTTCAATTTTTGCGGTCATATAAAAATGCTGAAAAATCGTGCAATAAGTTTCCATACAACCCAATTTATAAATTTAGCACTAATAATTACTGTGATTAACTGTGACAAAAATACATTAATTCAATTTATAAATACTACATTTGCAAGATTACAAATGTTCATCTTTTACTGTTATTTGACATTCTCTTTATAACATAATAAATATACATATGTACAATGGTATACTATGTACAGTATTGTTGGATGATGATTTTTTATGTACATTTTAATAAATACATTATTTTTTTATTAACACAATTACATGCATTTATGGATGTTCTTGGAAAGTTCATATGATAAATGATCAATGATGATAATATTTTTACAAGATTGTTAACATATCCTCTGTATAATCCTCCTATCTTAGGAGCACAACCATGGTTAAGTCGTGTAAAGGAGGACATTAACCACACTATATTCTTATCTGACATACTTGACAAAATAAATGGACTATTCATGCGATTGAATATTTTGTTTCAACCAAAGCCATTCATTACTCGTATTCCTTAGAATTTTAAATGAGGAATTTATTTTATCCCTATCGTGTAATTTAGGATAGAAATTAAGACAATGAATTTATGCACTTGTTTTTTGGCCAAATAGATGAGGAATTAGTATATCTAATCCTCATCATTTCATTTAAGATAGAAATTAAGACAATAAGTTCAGCAATTTTGTTGCTGAAAAGTTGGTTTATTTTGTTAACACTTTAAATGAACCGACTTACAGGACAAACGAAATTACTACAAAGCATTGTTTAAAACCGGTTGGTCAAATTGTTGGCACAAGGGTTTTATTTAGATGAAAATTTGGTAGGTAAAAGTTGATATTTTAATACAAAACTGAGATAAAACAAGAATGTGTCCATAGTACATGGATGCCCCACTCGCACTATCATTTTCTATGTTCAGTGGACCGTGAAATTGGGGTCAAAACTCTAATTTGGCATTAAAATTAGAAAGATCATATCATAGGGAACATGTGTACTACGTTTCAAGTTGATTGGACTTCAACTTCAGCAATAAACTGCTTCGCTGAGCGCAGCTAGATACGCCCGCAGAGGTCCAACCCTGAACAGTTGGGGCAAAAATGGACACAATATTCAAGCTTGATTCAGGTCCGAATTTGGATTGTAATTAAATATTTGACATATTATAGGTTTCTGAATAAATGTAGTCAAAGATCTTGAAATTGGTTATATGAATTGAATTTATATTCAATTAAAGATTTCTTGCTGTTGTGCAATACTTAGTAAATCTGTTGTCAGACTATAAACAAATAAAGTTCAATTAATTCTCAATGTCATATTAAAAATTTATGAAAATAAAAAGGGAGCTTACATCAATAGATATAAACAATTCACCAAAGTTTCATGAGAATTGGTGGCAGCATTTTTGAGTTATTGTCCGAAAACTGGAAAATCACCCCTTTTTTAATGAATCAAACCCCATAACTCAGAAATGTAAAATGTAAAATTTATAAAATTCTAAAGGGAGCTTACATCAATACATACAAACAATTCACCAAAGTTTCATAAGAATTGCTGAAAGCATTTTTGAGTTTTTGTCCAAAAACTGGAAAATCCCCCCTTTTTTCATAAATAAAACCCTGTAACTCGGAAACGTAAAATCTAAAAATTATAAAAATTGAAAGGGAGCTCATGTCAATAGATATAAACAATTCACCACAATTTCTTGCAAGTTGGTGAAAGCATTCTTGAATTATTGTCCAAAAACTGGAAAATCCCCCTTTTTTTAATGAATAAAACCCCATAACTCAGAAACGTAAAATCTAAATTTTATAAAAAACGAAAGGGAGCTCACGTCAATAGATATAAACAATTCACCAAAGTTTTATGCAAATTGGTTAAAGCATTTTTGAGTTAATGTCCGACATGTTGACGATGGACAGACGGACGGACGGACGGACAGACGGACAACGGTATACCATAATACGTCCCGTAAACGGGCGTATAAAAACTACCTTGACCAAAAACTTTAACCTGAAGCGGGACAGACGGACGGACAGACCAAAAAACATAATGCCCCTCTACTATTGTAGGTGGGGCATAAAAATAACGATAGAGATTCACTTACTGATTTAAAAACATGTGATGCTTATTAGATAAATGAGTGGTATACTTCACACCTAGAATGTTTAAATTCAGATATTGTATTTTGGTTTTATAATAATACAACCTTTCTAAACAACAACATTTGTACCAGATTGCTAAATAAGATTTAGAAGATATAGAAAGAATCAAAATCTGTTGTCATGAAACTATGATGAAAGGCCCAACTAAAAGTAATTATAAAGAAAACACCATGCACTAATTCTGTGAATAAGCATCCAGAGAAACTGTTTTTTTTTTCATACAGAAAAAATAAAAAATTGGAAAACACATACCTCATAGCACAATAAAAGTTTCAAATTAAAGGAATGTATTAATGGAAGCTAAACAACATTGCAAAATAATAAGAAAGACTTAATACTTGTGACAAAAACAAACACACATCTAATCTATCAATACAGCACCAATATACCTCACTGACAAAAGTCTTGTTTTTGGAGGGAATTATTTCGACAATCATACTATTTCATTCAAGCACAGATCATCTTAAATCAGTAATAATACATTTGCTTACATCATGCATATATTTTTTACATATGTTTTACTTGTTAATATATCTACTACTGTACCTGAATTCGTAAATATTCAAATTTTCAGTGAAAATATAAAATGAACTACATCAATTCATATTGAACATAACTGTATGATAAAATGATATTAATATGAAAGAAAATCACCCTTTTATCAATAAAAGACTTTCCAAAGATCTATTCATACATGGTCCTTTTCATTTTGAAATGAAATCTGATTTACTAACTGTTTTTTTAACCTTTTATTTAGTTCTAGGTGAAAAGTGTTTCAAAATTATTCAATGAAATGATCAGAGGTCTGAGACAGGTAAAATTAGCCTCATCTAGGATTCTGCAATACTTCTTCTATTGACATCATACAACAATCATTTTTGAAATATGGTATCGAAGATTTTCTTTTTTAAAATCTATCAAGTACTATCCTGTTTTAGCACACAAAATAAGATGTATTTCATCCAACAGTAAGTAGCTAAAGTTATAAACACAATAGATATAGTTTCAGTTGTTTTTATTGTATACTGATTAACTAACTTTGTTGAGTTTTAAACTTGCTATTCAATGAACTCTGTATTCACATTGCAACTAACTCGGAGCAAAAATAAAAGACAAACTAAAAGAAAAAGTTTCATTATGCATTTGAAATGTTATGTTTCATTTATTGACTAGACTGGATTAATTCATTTAACTTAAAAGCTAATACACAAGTTTTTCTTCCTTCAATAAGAAAGCAAGCACTTTTTTAAAATATAATTTTAACATGATAAGCAACAACAAAAATGTTTTTAGTGTGCCAAAATCGGTCCTTTTTCAACTAATGATTGTTTCATTAAAAAAAAATTTCATATAACTTCACTAAGTTGCACTTCTAAAAATCAGATAAATCAATGTTATCATTGATTGATGGCAGTTTAACGCCACATAAAAAGTATAAACGCTTTTTCAACTTTCACATTTGAATGAAAATATGGAAATTAATGAAATGTTTAAATAATGCTGAAAATGTTTTGAGTTTAAAGAAAAAATTGCATTTATATAAAAATTCATATTCTTATTTAAATCAAATGAATATTTGAGTAATAAATGTTTATAGTAAAATTTTCATTTCTGGTAACTTTTGCCGATTTCTATAAATTTCAAATCATTATCAAAATAGCTTCTACTTTTAGTTTGACAGTTTAGTAATCATGCTAATAGATAATTTCACTTTGTACATGATTATGAATGTAAGTATGTAGCAGTATGTCAACTGACTAACATTCTGATATAAACACAGTTTGTTTTTCTATGTCATTTTCTTCGCTTTAACTCTGTATCACGAGATCTCACTATGGCCACAGTCTAACATTCTTCCAATACAAATGATGAAATCTGTGCATGATGACAATTTTCTCTCGAGTCATTAACTGTAGAGAAAGCAATAACTAAACTTGACAAAAAATAAGTATTTAATCACAAACTAAGATTCACCAAGAATGTATCACCAATCTCGTATGTACAAATGAGTAACTAAATGAATCAAATGTACAGTCAATGGTTGTATAGCTTTAGGTTTTGTGAATTATGGTATTGACAACATGCCCAATTAATGTGATTATCTTGCGTTCCTCGAAGCCATAAGCAGTCAAACACAGGGAATGCCATTTGATGATGGGTTATGTTCCAAAATTAAAATTCTGTGGCACAGAGGTATTCTGAAATACGTAGCCTCCAGCATCTTCTATTCTTTTTGATTCTGAAAAGAAGAAAATATTCATTACCAATAAATTTACAGCTCTGTTTTTTGTGGTTTCAAAAACTACCAAAAGACATTACAATCATTATCTCCCTTTGTTTGGAATGCAAGTTTCTTTTATAAGGAGACATGGTGGTTTACAAAAGCAACCAAATGACACAAAAAATAAATAAGACCTTTTTCACTATTACTTATATTGCCTCAGTGTTAATATTCTGAAAACAAGTCTCTTGAATTCATTCCTTGCTAGGGTTAAACCAAATGTTACGATTTTCAGCTGTTTCTCAGAGATCTTAACATTAAAGATAGGTAAAGACAACTGGTCAGACTTACCACTGTGACTGAAACCCTCTATTCATTCAACCATCACAAAATAAATTGAAATTCAGTATTCAAAAGAGTTTTTTTTAGTGAAATTTAAGAAATCCAGAAATCCCTATGAATGATTTTGAAAAAAATCTAGACCTCTTTCATTTTTATTTTCACCAATTTCACAGGCATTTCAAGGAAATGAAAGGGATCTAGACGAACATGCTGAACAAAAGGTCAACCACTGTTAGGTATGGTCATTCAGTTTGACCAATATCTATACCTAGCAAGGAAGATACTTTAAAACTCTAAAAGTAAACCAGGAACTTCCAAAAATACTGGAAGTACATATACATAAGATAGTATCTATGATGTAATATTTTCTTCCATATTTACAGTGATTTCTGTCAATTTCAGCATCTCATCAGCAATTGTAGAAGTGAGAGAAATTTACCTGCAGCAGCATGTCTTTGTTCAGCTAACTTGAAAACATCCTCCAATTCCTTAGTTTGTTCTGGAGTTATAGGTGTCATTAAAGCCTGGTACCAAACTGGATCAGCTGTCTGGATACCTGTTTTATAATCAAAAGATAACCAAAATTGAATTTTGATCAAATTTATTCTTTAGTTTCAACAACTATAATATCAATGACAATGAATAAATTGTTGAAACAGAGATATGTTGAAATTTAAATACTTCAAAATGTAAACTGTGCAAACCATTCAAAGTCCCGGAACCATGACTGAAGGTGCAGTGTAAAATACTCTCCATGGAAATGAGATTGACTCATCATAAGTGGTTTCCTTTAAACTGATCTTTTCATAAACTTTCCATGGAAATGAGATGTGTCAATGTTTAATGAAACATTCAAAATTGATAGAATCACAAACGAATACATTGTTGACACCTCTGCTGGAAAATGCAAATTAAAGTCTCATCTTCACAACTTTGTCCAGGCAACACAAAAATAAGGATTTCATCCAATCATTGTATGTGAAATACCAAATTTATAATTGAACGTTGTTTAGCCGGTGTTTTCAGTCTAAATGATATTGTCTTTCACTTTAAAAATACAACTTCCTCCCCTGCCAAGTTTAAATGATTGATTGTTGGTGATTAACGCCACTTTAAGCACTAAAGACTACATCATAGCGGTCAGTTTTTATTGGTGGATGGAGCCTGAGTGCCCGGAGATAACCAACAACATTTGGCAGGAAAACTAAAAGTTGAAATGAAGTTCTTAAAATGAATATACTTACTTTGTAGAACATTCTTGAAGACTTGATATTCATCCACTTGACAACTATCTTCATCCAGGGGTGTCTGATAACTTTCTAATGCTGTTTCCTCCATTCCATCATCTGAATATTCATTATCACTATCATCGTCTTCATTGGCCTTAAAAATGAGAGAATATTAAAACTTTGTACTGGTTTGAACTTTATAAAATTCAAATATTTTCAGAAATTTGCAAACAGTGTCATCAGCCTATTTGTTTTGGAAGTTACCATCACCTGACTCGGTATGACAAGTATTTTTAATTTGATTGTAAAAAAATAGATTTCTGTTTAATCTGACTGAGACAGAGAAATGATTTTTCTTGTTTTTTGAAACCTGTGATTAGAAAATACATGTGCGGGGAAATTATGTTATTGTTTATATATTTCTAAATTTTAGAAAACTTACAGTTTCAGTTAAGACACAGCTTGCTTTTAGAATTCAAAGTATTTTCAAAGAAAATTTTTACATTTCAATTTTTAAACCCTTTGTTCCTATTTAGTGTAACTTATTGATTTCATGTGACAAAATTTTCAGATATTATTTTTCCAATCTTGATATTCCTGATCAATACTTACGGATTTCTCTAGTTTTTCTAAGTATTGTGCTCCATCTTCATCAACCTCATCTTCATCACTTGCCAATTCTAAAATAAATAATATATACAAGGTTATTCCAATTAAATTTACTGTAATAAATTTGTAACCAGTTCCGTAAAAATTCATTGAAGTCTTTTCCATAGTCCACATGCAAACTTCTAGTCTGTATGTGAAGAAATTTGTAATTCATTAACTCAATTAAAGACACCTTTTAAAGACGATATAAATTCATAAAATATTTACATTTCTTAATAAATTTAATATAAGTACCCAATTTTCCTTTTTTAACAATTGCACTATCATCTATACAAATTTGCCAGTAAATCCTATATCTACTAATTAAAACATTTATAACCTTTTCAATGCCATAATTTTCTATATCAACATCAAATCATCTTAAGGTGGTACCTAACACTACAGGGAGATAACTCTGTAAAAATCAGCTTAACGTTTTAATTACGTTGTATTGTTAAGGAAATATTAAGCTTCTCAATGATCAAAATTGGTGTTTGTCAAACTGCTATATAACCAATGAAATTTTTCTGATAAAGTGGTTGGTTCAAATTTTTTGAAATTTTTATATTTTTGTCAGAGGGTTAAAGTAAACATTTGGTCAAAATTTTATGAAAATTAAACGAGCCAAATTAATATTAGTCAAGGTGTTGGGTACCACCTTAAAATACATACAATACTAGAATACAAACATGACTTATCATGTTTGTGAGGTTTGTGAGGTTTGTTTTAACAATATAACTGTTGATGTACAAGTAAAACATTGTTTCATGTCTAACTCCACCAGAAAGTTGATAGTGATTGTCTGTCCATCCCATTTAAAATAAAGTTGAACGAGAATCTAAGAATCATCCTAGGGTTGTTCCATAAATACATTCATGGGAACCAGGGAAGGCAATTTGAATTCGCCACTATGGTTGACTGAAATATCAAGTTGTACAGATATAAAATGTATGCAGGTCTCTTAAATTTCTTCTATGGGTGGTTACTCAATTTTAAAGTGCCTTCCCTTGGTAACATGTAAATTTAATGGCCTTAGATGGTGCTATGTATCATTACCATTTTCATCCTTTTCTTCCTCGTCATCTTCATCTTCTTCATCACTACTATCCTCGTCTTCCTTGGCTTTGGCAGCATAGGCTCGCTTCAAACCAGAGAAGAGTAACAACAAAGCAGGGATAATCTGTGCTGATACTTCTGACACTTCATTTGGTCGATTGTTACTAATTAGATTTACTAAGGAACACAATCCTAAAACTGTTATTTTTCTGTCGTGTAAACTGCAAAAAAAAGGGGAAAAAATGTAGTTGTTACTTTCATCATGAGAGTAGAATAAAGAAAAATCTTTGCAGAACAAGAATGTGTGTACACAGGACACTATGCCCCCACTAATGTGTGTTAACTCCTTATTTGGAATATAGTTTAAAAATTCACCTTATAATGTACATTTGTACTAAGTTTAAAGCTAACCTGACCATATAATCATGGTAAACTGACAAACAAATGATAAACTTACCAAAGAATCAACAGTTGAAAAAGAACAAATCTAAAGAATCATTGAATACCATTTTCATTTCAGCAACACCTAGAAATTATTCTGAAATAGTCTTAATCTTATTAATTAACTGATCTTCAATTAAATGAATCTGTTATTCCTATATTTAGTCAGTGTCTTAACTTTTATACTTACAATTTCAAGAAAGCACTTCTATGTGTCTCATAAATGTTTTAAAAATGTTCACTAGCCTAAACAAATTTTTACTAGTCATGAGCTTAAGGCTAGTGGTTTTTGGCACTGACTATTTACACCTAATATTCTGTAAAGAAATGATACCTACCCAACAAAACAGTCTATATCATGGAACCAAGACTTCAAAAACTGAGCTAATAATGATCCATTTACATTTGGAATTTGTAATTTAGATAATGTGTCCATCAAAAATGGTAAATTATAATACAAAGCGGCTATCACAACTTGTAAACACATAGTCCGTAATTCTGATGTTAAAACTTCACGTGTTAGTCTCTGCAATGCTAGTTCAATAAATGATGGAATTACCTGTAAAAAAAAAAAAAAAAAAAAAAAAAAAAACTTTTTCATCATTTTTAGATTATGTACACAATCTAACAAAGACAAAAATTTCTTTTCAAATGACATTTCTATGTAAATCTATACAATGTATGCAAATCACAATGCTTAAATACCAATACACAATTAATCATAAAGGGAAGAGTCTCTTATAAATCAACATTACAGGAATACATTACCAACTTTATCAGAAAATTATTGTGAAGTTTTCTTATGAACTATCTTAAATAACAAATTTTGGTAATTTCAATAAAGAGTTGTGCCATGAGCACATGATACGCCCGTCGCTTTTTCAACAAATAAAGTTCAATAATTCCTCAAAGTCATATCAGAAATTTATAAAAAAAAAACTAAAGGGAGCTTCTTTTAATAGATATAAGCCAATTACCAAAGTTTCATGAAAACTGCTCAAAGCATTTTTGAGTTCTTGTCCGACAACTGGAAATCCCCCCCTTTTTTTTTATATAAATCTCACAGCTCGGAAATTTAAAATCTGAAATTTATAAAAATCGAAAGGGAGCTTGTGTCAATAGATATAAACAATTCACAAAAGTTTCATGAAAATTGGTTAAAGCCTTTTCGAGTTATTGTCTGACATGTTGATGACGGATGGGTTGACAACAGTAAACCATAATATGTCCTGTAAACGGGCGCATAAAAACAGGAAGTACTTTCATTTGACGCTGCCCTTTTAACAGTTCACATTTCATTATCTCAGCCTTTAATGCTTACTATACAGTATGGGTTTGCTCATATCTTAAGTTCATACTGTGAAAAGTACATTTTCACATCCATGTCCTTGCATCTTTGGTCGATAGTTGTCTGATCGGCAATCATACCACATCTCCATATTTTTATATTGTATTCTGATAAAAATTCTTAACATTGATTAATTGAAGATTGCTTTATTTCATCAACATATAGGTATAAAAACATACATGATCTACTTGTCCTGGACATTGTAGTATAATAACTTCTAATAACTTGGCTGCATGGCATTCAGCATCTTCACCAATATCAGCTGACATTACCTAAAGGAAAAAGTGAAAACAACACTTAACATTCTCCACATATCATTGTTTTTTTTTTAAATGATTTGCTAATTTTCTCTTGTGGTATCTATTTCAGAAAGGTAAAGATATTCAATTTACTTGTGATGCAACTAACAGCATGATTCCATTAATTATAATTGGATATCCAGTATTTAACATGCTTTATGGTTCATTTATATTTTTATATGTTTCAGAGTTTAGTGTGAAGTCCATTTTTGCTGAACTAATAGACATTATTGTTTAGGGGCCAGCTGAAGGGTGCTTCAAGATGTGGGATTTTCTCGCTGTATTGAAGACCCATTGTTGACCTTCTGCTGCTTTCTGCTCTTTGGTCGGGTTGTTGTCTCTTTGACGCATTCCCCGTTTCCATTCTCAATTTTATTATTTTACATGAAATAAGGTTAAATTGCTAAAAGACCCCTCCTAAATTACTGATAGCTATTGTTTTGCATTTACCATACCAATAAGTGAGTTTAAAATAACATAGATAAATATTGTTTTTATTGGTATAAATATTGATTTTGTTATCAGTGAATTAAAATCATACTAAATAGTTTTGTTATACACATATGCACTTTAACGGTACTACAATCTGTCGATACCTTTATTTTAGCATTGCACAAGGTCATGTTTTTTTCTGACTGTTAATGATGTCTTTACACTAAATCCATTGGATGTTGGATGTGTATTGATTGATATTTTAGTCTAAGATACAAGATTTTTTTTTGTTTGTTGTTATTGGCTTTGAACTGGCTGTCAGTAACTGCGAGTACTTTCAGATCTGTACTTAGTGTCCTTTTGTTGTTAGGGATGAGGGATGGATAAATACCCTGCCACGTCTGGTCTGTGTTTTTGTTTGATTGTTCTGCTTTGTATCAATCTGATGAGTTAAGCATTTTTCAACTGATTTTTATAGTTTGTTCTGATGTTGTGCTGTTTCACCACTGTCCCAGGTTAGGGGGAGGTTTGAGCACCAACAAACATGTTTAACCCCGCCACTTTCTTTATGTGCCTGTCGCAAGTCAGGAGCCTGTAGTTCAGTGGCTGTGGTTGGTTCATGTCAGTCATATTTGTTTTTCATAAATTGTTTTGTTATAAATTTGGCAGTTAGTTTTCTCAATTGAATTGTTTCATATTCTTTATGTCGGGGCCTTTTATAGCCAACTATACGGTATGGGTTTTTCTCAATGTTGAAGGCCTATAATTGCTTACATCCACTTCATTTGAACTTTGGTGGATAGTTGTCTCATTGGCAATCATACCTCATTATTTTTATATAGAGTCAACTTACTGTTTTACACATGTTATATATAATCTGTACATGTTCTGGGTTAGCTAGAAAAGCAGTGGTATCTACTGTTATATAGTTGTGGAGGGCAGGCATCATTTCTGAAATAAACAATACAATAAATTAATTATTCAACATATCATGCAATTAACAATCATTAACTAATGAACATGATAAAACAGATTTTTTTTAGTTTGTGTTATCTTTTATTGCTTCGTAAAGAGCTCTTTTAAAATAAGCCAGTATTCGGAAAAAAATTAGAGTGTCTGACATAGTAATCATTTTCAATCATGGACATGTCATTTTTCATCACAAAATGGCTTTTAGGCATAGATGCTTCATTTAAATAAAGTTATTATTTAAAGATGAGTTGCAGATACAGGTTGTGTAGGAATTTAAGAATGAACCAAGTCAATTATTTACTCAAGCAGTCACACATATTCTGTTGACTTGTAATGTGGGAAGATTTAATGCCAAAATAAGGTTCTCGAAAACAAAGGAGTACGACTTTTTTTTACATTGTTTCATATTGAAATCCTCTCAAATCATAACAATTTAAAATCATTATATTCTACAAATCTTTGTATCTTAACATATATGCTTATTATTGTCAATGCCTGTGAGTTAAGTAACTCACTCTGGCAGTCAAATATTTTAAATTTATTCTATTTGAAAAAGAGAAAATTCTATTTCTCATATGCCAAATTGAGATTCACTGTTACCAATTAAAACCAAACAGAAACAATGGCAAAAGTATGTATTATCACTATCTTCTTCACCTTTTCAAAGAGTTTTATGTATTTTCATTAATATTCAGACAAAAACATACCATTTCATAACATTTAACATGCTTAAAAGTACTTTTATTCACTCCCACTCCTATTTCCTTTATTCTTTTCGATATGCTTAAAAGAAGCAAATAAAGGGAGGTAATTATCATCAGTGCTGAAAAATCCTTTATTTTGCAATTAGAACAATTAATAGTTGCAGGGATAATATATTTTACAACAGGGGAGGAGAAATCCCTTTATATAAACCTTATACCATTATCATCTCTAGTCAGGTCCTGAAAAACGTTGCAGGGATAATATATTTTACAACAGGGGAGGAGAAATCTATTTATATAAACCTTATAACATTATCATCTCTAGGCAGGTCCTGACAAACGGGACCATTTTGTATTTCATATCTTGATATGAAATCAAGGAAGAATCACATTAAGATCAAAGTAGTAGCTGCCTTCTACTAATTACAGGCCTGTTAACCCTCCTTGAATGCTCTGATTAGTTTGACAACTCAATAAAAAGTGGATTTTTAACTTTGGTAGTAGTTTCCTATTTAAAGTTTCTTTTGATTTTTTATTGTTTTCAAGATTAAAGCTTGAAAGCTGCCCTTAACAGACATGAAAAGTTCTCAAATTATTTGTATGTTTGGCTTCTTCATCCTCGGGAGACTGATCTGATTGCGACAAATTAAATTATCACTTCCTCTACTTTTAACTTCACTTTCGACAAAGAAGCCCATTCATCTGCCAGTAGAACTTAGTTTAAAAGAAGTCTCAGTTATATTAGTTTTTGATGGAACAGCACTGAGAATCCAGTCTTCAGAAAAAAATTAGAGTGTCTAACAGTATAATCATAGTAACATAATAGAAAGTGCATATTCATCACTAGACTGGTAATTCACAAATTTCATAGAGTTGCAAGGATGTTTATATTTTACATTACTAAGGGGGAACATCCCTCAATAACCCTTTAAAATCATCCACTCCAGGCAGGAGTATGAATTGTTAATATGAATTCAGCAACAGAGAAGAATCTCATTTAGATCAAAATAGTTGCATCTGCTAATTACAGAACTGTTATCCCTCCTCGAGTGCTCAAAGTAGTTACTTAGTTCAGTCTGCACCGTTAGCCTCTAGTACGATGCCCCAGACTAGTAAAACTTTATTCAGACTAGTAAGAATTTGCTAAATTTTGTTTAGATACTTAAGAAATATATAGGAATATTGGTCTTTGTACTAGTAGTTGGAAAAGATTTTGGTGCAGACTGTTAGTTTAGAGTATATTTGTAATGTTAATAGTAGTTCCCCATTCAATGTCTATTGACTATGCTTTCTGCCAAAAAAGAGGTAAAAATAAATGGGGAATGTGTCCATAGGACACAGATGATGCCCCGCTTGAATATAACGTCATAAAGGGATATAACTCAAGAATAATAAAAGTGATGCTAACCAAATTCATAGTGGTAATAAGCATTGTGTATATAAAGTTTTATAACATTTGGTTGAGGCAAACTTAAGTTAGAGAACGGAAACGAAAAATTCAGCAATTTTTCCATTTGTAGAGGGCACAACTCTAGAATGGTAAGGGTGACGCTACCCAAATTCAAACCCGATCTGTGTTTTGTGGTAATAAGCATTGTGTATAAGATTCATAACATTTGGTTGAGGTAAACTTAAGTTAAGAGAACAGAAATGAAAAATTCAGCAATTTTTCCATTTGTAAAGGGCCATAATTCTAGAACGGTACAAGGGACGCCACCCTAATTTAAACTTGATATGTGTTTTGTGGTAATAAGCATGGTGTTTAAGTTTCCTAACATTTGGTTGAGGTAAAGTAGAGAACAGAAACAAATTTTGGGACATACGTACAAACGGACAATGGATAAAACTTAATGCCCCAGCCGTAGGCTATGGCAGGGGCATAAATAAACTGCTTCGCTAAGCGCAGCTGGATACGCCCGCAGAAGTCCAACCCTGAACAGTTGGGGCAAAATGGACCAAGGCTTCCAAAACGGTCATATATTCCGGACATTTGTATAATGTCCGGTAAAAGTCCGGCTGGGCAAAGCACGAAACGGTCATCTACTTTTTAGTTTTCAAGGCTTTCTTATGAGACGGTCATTTTAACATAATTAGCGATCTTTTTGACCCAACCTTTTGCCTTTAACAGCCACACATTTCCGGTCATAAAAGTGGCATGATCATAAAGTACTATCAAAACAACCCCTACTTTAATACCTTTTCATTTTAATCAAGGCTAATTAGTTGTCGAACAGCTGCAATTTACCTGTTCAATTGACAGGTAAACTATTTTGAACCGGATATTGATCGGTCTATTCAAAGTTATTTTCTTATATTTCACCGGTTTGCATCTAATTAATTTAGTCAAACAGATTAAAATTATCAGAAATACATTTTCAAACATGATTTGATGAAAAAATTAAAAAGGTGAAAATGAAAAATCGTCAAAACCACGTTGTTTGAACCAGAGACATGTCTCTGTTTGAACTAGTACAATTGCAAGTGTGCACATGTGCGCAGGTGTGAAATTTAATTATGAATCCTAATTTCTTCAAACAATACTTAAATTGTCATTGATGCCTTTATCTCACGTTTATTTCGAATATTTTCTTGAAGAAATAACGTAGAATGAGCTACTTACACTCATTCATGCTTTGCAAACGTACACGGAATTTACGTATCCGTCTCTGGTCCATGTTTTACCATTGTCAAGACAACATCCGGTATTTTGAAAACGAAAGTAAAGTGTTTGACAACGTCATTTTGCACAAATAAAGAGTTTAAGGCAGATATAAGTACGCTAATGTTGCACACTTCGAATGATGCACTGCCAATTTAACAGTTTACGTCAGAACTTCGAATTTGAATCAAAGAAAGTTAATATTAAATAATATCGTTTTTTTTTTAATGTCAATCATTGGGATGGCCAACTTGGCAACTGATTACCATAATTGCCTTTTGTTTATTTAGTCTTTAGAGATTAAAATCGGGATAGTATATAAAATGTCCGGCTGGCTAAAAATAATTTTGGAAGCCCTGAAATGGACACAATATTCAAGCTTGATACAGGTCTGAATTTGGATTGTATTAAATATTTGACATATTATAGGTTTCTGAATAAATGTAGTCAAAGAACTTGAAATTGGTTATATGAATTGAATTTATAATCAATTAAAGATTTCTTGCTGTTGTGCAATACACTTTGCTGTTGCGCAATACTTAGTAAATCTGTTGTCAGACTATAAACAATTAAAGTTTAATTAATTTTCAATGTCATATTAGAAATTTATGAAAATGTAAAGGGAGCTTACATCAATAGATATAAACAATTCACCAAAGTTTCATGAGAATTGCTGACAGCATTTTTGAGTAATTGTCCAAAAACTGGAAAATCCCCCCTTTTTTAATGAATAAAACCCCATAACTCAGAAATGTAAAATGTAAAATTTATAAAATTCTAAACAGAGCTTACATCAATACATATAAACAATTCACCAAAGTTTCATAAGAACTGCTGAAAGCATTTTTGATTTTTTGTCTGAAAACTGGAAAATCCCCCTTTTTTTATGAACAAGAGTGCACACGCTGAAATGTCTCGCCTTCTTTACTAATCATTGATATTATGTTGATAGTCCTAAATATAAAGCTTTATTACAACTGTCACATAAACTTAACATTAACCAAGTAAACTAAACATTGACCAATGAACCATGAAAATGAGGTCAAGGTCAGATGAACCATGCTAGGCAGGCAAGTACAGCTAACAATTCTTCCATACAACAAATATAGTTGACCTATTGCTTATAGTTTAAGAAAAACAGACGAAAACACAAAAACTTAACACTGAGCAATGAACCTTGAAAATGAGGTCAAGGTCAAATAAAACCTGCGTGACTGACATATAGATCATAAAATATTTCCATACACCAAATATAGTTGAACTATTGCATATAGTATTAGAAAAAAAGACCAAAACTCAAAAACTTAACTTTGACCACTGAACCATGAAAATGAGGTCAAGGTAAGATGACACCTGCCAGCTAGACATGTACACCTTACAATCATTCCATACACCAAATATAGCTGACCTATTGCATGCAGTATTAGAAAAAAAGACCAAAACTCAAAAACTTAACTTTGACCACTGAACCATGAAAATGAGGTCAAGGTCAGATGACACCTGCCAGCTAGACATGTACACCTTACAATCATTCCATACACCAAATATAGTAGACCTATTGCATACAGTATAAGAAAAACAGACCAAAACACAAAAACTTAACTATAACCACTGAA